CTCCCTGACCTGGCTCCAGCTTGGGGGGAGGCCTTGGAGGCGCAGCCTGGCCATGGTAAGAGCCGTGTGGGCAGTTGTGGGGAGCCACGGCATGGACCCACAATCTGCCCTGAGCAGTGGACCCGGGGGGAAGGGACACGGGCTGGGGGCTCCTCAGTCCCCCACACGCTGGGCAGGTGGAGGGTCCGCCGCAGCTCCCCACAGCTGCCCGTGTGGCTCTTACCATGGCTGGGTTGCGGCTCTGAGGCCCCCCCCCGGCCAGAGCTGGGTTGGGGAGAGCCGTGTGGGCAGCTGTGGGGAGCCTCGATCCCTCCACCTGCCCTGCTTTCAGCCCCACCACACCCTGGCCGGGCTCCCTGGCCCGGCTCCAGCTTCCAGCTTGGCTGGGGCAGGGCCTCAGGGTGGTGGGCGGGCCCTGGCCCCCCCACTTCTGGGAGGGCTCCAGCACCCTTGGTCTGGAACTGAATGGAACAGCCTGCCTCTAATATTTCCAGAACTCAGCAGGCTTTAATGACAGTGTTCCACACCTCACAGAAATGAAACAACTCCCATATGGAGGGGATATAATTGGAAGATCAAAAAGAATTTGTATACCACTCCCAAACAAAAAGTTAAATCTGTTGCCTGGATCATGAGAAAGACTAAAGCAGATATTGTGGATCCAGATTACTTCCTTCTCAAAATTTTTTGACACTTTCTAGGTGGTTCAGGCTGCCTATATCGGGAGTAACTGCTTGGTTGAGGATTAATGTACTTTGCAAGTTCTTCAGTGTAAGGCCTCAACTGTTTTAGCACTGAAGAGTTCACATCCCTCAAATGTGAGCGCCTCAGTTGCTACTTGAAATTCTTTAGGGATCCCTGAAAAGTGGAGCCATAAGGATCTCCTCATAGCACTTGAGATTGCTATCTGCAGCACGAAGCCCTGCTTGGAGGCATGTGCATGTCACAAGCTGACCTTCAGTGATGAGCAACTTAAAATCTTCCCTACTGCCTTGAGAAAGGCTTTTGGCAAATTTAGCCATGGAATCCCACTTCAGTTAATCATATTTAACCAAAAGATCTTGGTAGTTGGTGATTCTCATTTGGAGGCATGATGTGAAGTAATTTTTCCATCAAAAAAAAATTTGGGGGGGGGGCTTTCCTTGTCTTTTGGTGTTGTTTTAATGTGATCTCTCATTTGATGCCATAACCACCAGTGAACCTGGTGTGGGATATGCCCAAAGCCCTAGGAAGAAACCTGGTAGTGATGGTCTGCTCTCATCAATATTGGTACCAGAGGGGCAGGTGTCTGCTAGAGCAATTTAGCTGGCTCTGAAAGTCCCTAACTGATGGGTATTGCAAGATGTCCAGGTACCGAGGTGTGCAAGATGAGCAGGAGCTTGTGTGATTTATTTTTTCCTGAACTACCTCAACTGGAAGCTCCAGCATGTTAGCCATTCTGAGTAACAAGTCTTGTAACATCTTGTCAATCTGTTGAGGCTATACTCATTGACACAGATAACTCAACAAGTACAGCCTCATTCAGAAATGATGGGGACATATGGGCTGGTGAAAGATGGTCCTCTGACTGAGACTCTCTTCATCTGAGCCATCAGCCTGTTCAGTTGACGGAGGAGCAGATTGAGTTGGTTGTAAAGCCGCCTTGTGCAGTGGAGAAAGGGAACTAGTCCTGATTTGAGAAGCAGACACTGGTCTTCTAGATTAGTGAATCCTCCACAGAGTCCAATAAGTCCAAGGCTGCTGATAGGCATAAAGGGTAGATGGCCAAGAGCAATGATACCAGGGACTACTTTGAGCCTCTTTGAGCTTCAATGCCTAGAGTAATAAAACTCATCCTTTCATTCCCTCTCAGGTGTAAATTGGCCTGAATATCTGGATTTCAGGGAACAAACCAGTGAAGACTCTCTAATGCGCTCAGTACCTGAGGAGAATGAATAGTCCTCCCTAGGAGGAGAGGCTGTATCAGCTGGTGTGCTGAAAGCACTTTCAGATGGTGCTCTGGTCAGTACCATTGATGTCCTCATTTCCCATACTGGAGCAACAGTCGATGCCAAAGGAGGAAGCTTCAGCACTGCAACAGTGGGGATCCCAGTACCAAAAAGACCAGTAAGTCTTTTGAGGCTATATACAATTTTGGTACCAAATATGTTGTACCAAACATGAAGACAGGTGAGTAAATGGCGTCAGTATGAGAGACATGGTACCAGGGACCTCAGGACTTGGAGGATGATATGGGGCATGTAAGTGGTATCAAGGGAGCTGGTCTTGAGGCACGGTGACTCGTGCCTTACCAGGGGTCAAAGGGACCCTTCTGGGGTCTTGTGCTACCCTTTTCCCCTGAGGTTCAAGAGGATTTATGGCTCCCTGAGGAAGGACCTGGTGAAGGAGAGTGAGATCTAATTTTTGTGTGGACTTGGTACTCCTTTCTCCTCTAAACCCTTGTGATTTTACCAGACAAGGGGGATGGCTTTTTAGAAGCATTTACTTTGACTTCACAAGTTGAAGACACAACGGGAGTACTTTTATATGATGACTGCTCAGAAGCTGCTGCCTATCGGGAAGAGGTCGCAGGTGGCCAGGCCTAGTGATTGGAGTCCAATGCCACAACCCAAGGTCAAAGTAGAGTCAGAGCCGGGAATCGGAGCTGGAGGTCAGAACCAAAGTCAGAGTCCAAATGCCAGAGCCAAGAGTTGAGACAGAACTAGGGCTGAGGGTCAGAACCAGATTAGCTGGAGTCAGGGAAGGCAGGAGCAGGATGGGTTCCCAGGCAGCAGCAACACTGGGACAAGACTGGAACAAGGCTGGGTGCTGGGCAAGTGTGGCAGTCTACACCATTAAGTTCACCCCTTTTATAAGACTATGATAAATTTTGTACAAAGTATGCCTTGTGAGATATCATTTAAAAACTCAATCTGCTGCATATTATTGTCCTGGTTAAACATGTGTATCGATATTGTATGTAAAGTTATAAGTTTCTACTGTATAACATTGCTATAACACATTCCAGATTTAGAAAGGCAGGCCCAACCCAATTCTTTAGAGACAAAGACATACTGGCACCCCCAGACAGGTATTAACAAAGTCAAGTGAGCTATCACTTAGTTATGCGACCATTCTCTGGCGCGGGAATAACGGTTCAAACCTCACATCTAAAAGGCACTGTTTGTCACCAGGACTCAGCCAGGATGTTTCTAGCACAACAAATTGAATTATAAAGAGGGGAGAAAAATGCTTGACCTCACTCTCCTCCATCTCTGCTCATTGTAGGGTGCTGGACAATACAAGATGCACATTTCTGGTGGAAAGTCTGGGGACTAGAAAATCTGCTGCTGTTCTTCTGCAGTGTAATTAATGAGTGGCTAGCTAGTAACACTCAATACTGGGCAGCTGGGAGCAAGTTACATGCTGGAGGCTGTGTGTTAACTGGCCAGGGGTGGCTGTTCACCAATAAAGCAGTGTAAAAGGTATCCCAGGTTGGAAAACTCAGGAGATGCAGCTATTCAGCAGTCCAGATTGTACCCTGGGGAATGTCACTGCAAGTCTAGGCTGAAGTGAGGTTGGGGGCAGGGCAAGGTCTAGGCTCAAGCAGTGAAGGAGCAGAGCAGGAGCAGGTCTTGGAATGAGGCAAGCAGAGAGAGGCAGAGAATCCACAGACGTGTGTTGAACAGCCAGTGAACTGCTGCTGGCTTAAGAACCAGCTTGCTAGGTTCCTCAGTCAGTCAGGCTGCCTGATGGACAGCCCTGCTTGGCTGACTCGGTAGGCTGACGGAAGACTGAGCAGGCATAGCTGCAGGGCCTTTCTCCTGACAGTGCCCCAGGATGCACTGACCTTTTCAGCAGGAGCATTTTCAGATAAGACTTCCTAGCTCTTTGGGTTCTTTTAGAAAATAATTTACAGAGAGCACATCTTTTTGTAATGTGCCTCTCACCCAGACACAATCAACAAATGGTGTGCTCATCATTGAGAGGCATTACAGCCTAATATGAAGGACAATTTTTAAAACCTGGAGATTTGTGTTCAGTCATAATGATGTACCCCACAACAGGGCCTAACTCCCAGGTAAACAAAGGAGTGAATTTCCTTCTAAAAGGAAGAAAGGAAACACTATCAAAACTCTGTAGCACTAATGACTGGTTAACTGCTAAGCACCTATATTTATATTTACATAGCAAAGAATAGTCAGCACAGTGAATGAAGAAACTTGGACACTGCCAGTTCTGACTTGTAGCCAGTGGTAGTGAGAAGGGAATGAAAGGTGGCTGGGGTTGCCCCATCTTTTGTGCACTCAGTTGGAGACATGCGGACATTCAAAGCACAATCGTAACCGCCAATGACACTGCTGACCAAAAGAATCCATCTCAAGTGCACTGGGTGTATGTGCACCCAACAATGGAATATATATGGACAAGCACCCAAAAAAGAAATGATTAAATTGGAGGCTTGATGGGGCAGTCTTTTCCTCCACTGGTACTAAACCAATGTCCCAGCAAGGTAATTATGGGACACTGAGCCTACATTACTTTTAACAAGAGTAGGAAGTGTTAAATCCAGTGTTCTGGCCAAATTCTAGCTCAGGAACACCAAATCCCCTTAACTTTGGTGAAGCTTGGAACAGATTCTGAACTTTACCACTTACATATGTCTCTTGTTTTTATATGCTACCTCCCTAAATTCCCCTTGCATTTTCACTTATTTCTTCCTCAGTGCTTGTGTGAATCTGTTATGTAGTGTTTCTGCATCCTGCGTTGCTGCTATGCTTCACCTCAACAGTGGCTGCATTTCACTAAAGGGTGAAGTGGTCCCTTTATAGAGACCATCCATATAATGTGCTTTGGGATCTTTTAAAATAAATGATTATCTTCATTAACCTGTAGGTCAGCTGTAAAAGGCTCCCTGGTGACAACAAAGTAACTTTCATCAGATCAATTCTTAGTCATCAACCCCTGAAGACACTTTTTTTCAAAATGCATTGTAATCATTACCTTCACCATACTCTTACCTTTAAATTCAAAACAGGCAGTTCATCTTCTGTTAAGGAAAAAAAATAGATGGTCTTTGAATCAATTCAAAACAAAAATCTTTACAAGTCCATAAATATTCCCAAATGAGTGCACAGATTAGATAAGTTAACTCCTCTTCCATTATAATCCAGACATTTTATTATAATATTGATATGATGTGTTTATTTTAGCTAATACTGCAGAGAGAGAAATGTGGGAGAAATCAAGTTTTATTGCTGTTTTCCTCTAGCTTATCTTTCTATTCTTTTAGGATCTCATCCAAAGCACAAATGAAATACTCTGTAGTGAGGCGGAGTGGCCTCCGACTGAGCCAGAGGGGGAGGGACCACTCTCTGAGCTTGGGTGGGTGGAGCCAGGCTGTGCCCGCCCCTCCCACCAGAAGTCAAAAGGCAGGACAGGAAGTATAAAGGGCGGGTCCTGGAGCTTAGTTGAGCTGTAGACTCTGGAGGAGATAGATGCATTCTGCCCCCTTCCAAGCCTGGAGATCAAAGGGGAGCCCCGCCACGCTGAGGACTGGCAGAGCTGCTGGAGAAGCCAGCTGACTGAGACACCAAGGAATTGCTGGGACTGCTGCTGACTACCTGCCCTGAGGAGATGGAGAACACCCACAGATCCAGGTACACCCCGAGGGGAGGGGAGGAAGTGGCCCAGGGACAGCCAACTCCAGTCTGGCCGCATTGCTGCCTGAAATGCTGTCAGTGTCTTGCTGCTGGATTCGCCGCTGACCCAGTGGTGGAACACTCGACCACTGTTAAGGCCCTGGTCTAGGACCCAGTGGAGTTGGGTGGCAGTCTCCCCACCATAGGCCAAGATGCCTCCAATTGTCTGCAGTCTACCAGAGCCAAGACATCAGGCAATAGACTGCCCAATGCTCTGCTCCACCTCAGGGGTCAGAGAAACCCTCTTCTGAGCTCCCTAATTGTTTGGTGCCCCACCCTGCTGAAAGCCAGGTCCCCTAGACTCTTCTTGCTGCTCTGCCCTGACTGCAGGCCAGAGCCCCCTACTCTGTTTGATGCCCCCTCTGCCTGAGGATCTGGGCCCCTAGACTCTGTATTGCTCTACAGAGACAGAGCCATAGACCATTTAGTGCCATGCCCTGACTGAGGGCTGGGGCTCTCACACTATTTACTGCTTGTTTGCCCTGCCCCTACCTGGGGGTTAGAGCTCACAGACTGCTCATTGTCCTGCCCTGCCTGAGGGCCAGAAGCCTCTAGACTGTTTGCTGCTCTGCCCTACCTAAGGGCCCAAGCCCTAAACCTTTGCTGCTCTGCCCTGCCTAAGGGCCTGAGCTCTAGACTGTTTATTGCTGCCAGAGCATACAGATGGCTTATAGCCTGCCTGGCCTGAAAGCCGGATCTCCTTAAACTGAGGGCTTGTCTACACTGGCAAGTTTTGTCGCCAAAACTGCATTTTGGCGACAAAACAGCAAGAGCGTGCACACTACAATGGGACTTTTGTTGCGAAAAATGCCCAGTTTTGGTGACAAAAAACTTCCACCCCTAAGAGAGACTTTTGTCTTTTCCCCTCCCTTTATTGTCGACAAAGAGCCCGTGTAGACACTGCTGATTGTTTTGTCCACAGAACTGGCTCCCGCCAGTATCCCACAATGCCTGCCCTGATTGCTCTGCTCAGTGTTTTTATCTCTGCTGCCCTGCAGGCATGTGCCCTTCACCTTTCAAAGCTCCAGGAAGTAGCTGTGTGCTGCTTCGTTTGGGGAACAAACAAAGAGCAAATCATTGGAATGCTCCTGTTCTGCCCTGCACTAGGAACACAGCAGCAGGCAGACTGCTGCTGCAGGGAGAGGGGGACAAACTGCTGTGCTGCTTTGCCATTCCTCAGCACAGAGAGCTCACAGAGCTACTCATGATGCTGCTCTTGGCAGCTGAGAGGGCTGTGGGAGAACTGGGAGAGAATCCCAAGATGTGCAGCGATCAGCTCTTCCTTCCCACAACACTGCACTGTGGGATACATACTCACGGTGCATTGCTCACCCTGTCAATGATGGTGTCCCCAGTGTGGACATGATCTGTTGACAGAGGGAGCAAGTGTGAACACCCTTTGGCGATTTTTGTTTTGTCGACTTTTGGGTGTCGACATAAGTTTTGTCAACAAAATTTGTGTAGACAAGCCCTGAGTCCACTCCACACTGGAATTCTAATTCCCTGACTGTAGGCAACGCTCATTAATGTAGTGAGGTGGAGTGGCCTCCCACTGACCCAGAGGGGAAGGGCCCACCGCTAACCCACTACACACCTATTGATTTCACTGGGCATTGATTTTACTGCTACTCTGATCAGGGCCAATACAATTCTGTGACAGTCTAAGATTCTGAGGCTAAATAAGATTGTGAGGGCCGTAGATACAATAGTAATGGGTCCCTATAAGTACCTAAGGGTATGTCTACACTACCCGCCGGATCGGCGGGTAGTGATCGATCTATCAGGACGCGATAAAATCGATCCCCGATCACTCTGCCGTCGACTCCGGAACTCCACTGCGGTGAGAGGCGGAAGCGGAGTCGACGGGGGAGTGGCAGCGGTCGACTCACTGCCGTCCTCAAGACGGTAAATCGACCTAAGATACGCCGACTTCAGTATAGCGTAGCTGAAGTTGCGTATCTTAGGTCGACCGTCGACCCCCCCCCCCCCCCCCCCCCCCCAGTGTAGACCTAGCCTCAGACAGATAAGCTATGCTAAGGCCTGATCTACACTACAGTGTTAGGTGGATGTAAGGCACCCAATGTCAGTATACGTGCTACAGGCTTGCTCCCGCTGATGTAAGTGCCCTACTACACCGACATAACTTCACCTCCACAAGAGGCACAGGGCTTAAGTTGGTGTAGTTAGGGTGATGCACTGTCCCTGTAGACACTGTGTTACTTATATCTGTCATTCTTGGCTGGAGCTGTGATATTGACAAGAACACCGGCTCTCGGCTCTCCAGCTGGGCTGCTGCCTGGTCTCAGCTCCAACCTGGGCCGCCACCCAGGCTCCTGGCTCCAATCCGGGCTGCCTCCTGGACTCTCGGCTCTCCAACAGGAGCATGGCAGCCGACTGGACTCTAGGCGCAGATCTCCCAGCCAGGAGCTTGGCTGCCCCCCGGGCTCTCTGCTCCCTGCCGGGAACAGGGCAGCTGCACCAGGCTTCTCAGCTCCCCACTGGGAGCATGGCTGCACCCGGTAAGGAGTTTTGCACCCAGAGTCCAGTCAACTGCCATGCTCCCGGTGGGGAGGAGGGAGCTGAGAGCCCAGGGGGACAGCTGGGCTCTCGGCAGGGAGTGGGGACCCAGGCTGCCGGCGGGGAGCTGCGCACATTGCTGAGAGCCCTGGCTCTCAGCCCCCCACGTGACCCCTCTTAAGTCGGCGGAAGCACTCCTGGTGAGGACGCACACCACCGACAGAAGAAGGGCAATGTGGACATGAACCACTGCAGCAATTACTGCGGTGGCTGTAAGTCGACCTAACATAGGTCAACTTAAGTTTATAGGACAGACATGCCAGCCGAGTAGAAGAGACTCAGCACCTCGTGACCACTTGGAGCTGCAGATTTGGAGAACTCAGAATATGAGATTGTGGGGATAAAAGTAGGAGTCCCTTATCAGAATCAGGAGACTTAACAGGCTGCTTCTTGAATTGACTGAAAAAAGGCAAGCCATTGCTTGAGTGCACTCTCTTTTTTCATCAGCCAGATAATCTAAACGTGCTGCCCCAATGATACCCCCAACTGACAGTCCAAGAAGAGTGGGACCAACCTGAAAACCTGAACTGAGATCCCCTGAAGGGCAGCATAATTTGTTTACGTTGAAAGAAAAGCTAAATTTTTATTTTAAGCTCTAAGAGGTTATGATAATTGTATTATAAATTTTGAAAGCAAAGAATACAATTACAGGTCTGTCGCATCTTACGCGCATTTAACATGCGCGAATTCAGCTTTACGCGGTCGGCAAAAAAAAAAGAGAAAAATAACAATTTAAATACTGTTCCTGTAGTTCGATTCCGCCCGCCATTACACTCAATGTAATTTTGACTATACGCGGTTTTCGCTTTATGCGCTGTCATAAATATAAAGGGAAGGGTAACAGCCCTCCTGTGTACAGTACTATAAAATCCCTCCTGACCAGAGACTCCAAAATCCTTTTACCTGTAAAGGGTTAAGAAGCTCAGGTAACCTGGCTGACACCTGACCCAAAGGACCAATAAGGGGACAAGATACTTTCAAATCTTGGTGGGGGGAAGGCTTTTGTTTGTGCTCTTTGTTTTGGGGGTTGTTCGCTCTTGGGACTGAGAGGGACCAGACATGAATCCAGGCTCTCCAAATCTTTCTGAACAAGTCTCTCATATTTCAAACTTGTAAGTAAACAGCCAGGCAAGGCGTGTTAGTTTTTATCTTTGTTTTCTCCACTTGTAAATGTACCTTTTTGCTAGAGTGTTTATCTCTGTTTGCTGTAACTTTGAACCTAAGGCTAGAGGGGATTCCTCTGGGCTCTTTAAGTTTGATTACCCTGTAAAGTTATTTTCCATCCTGATTTTACAGAGATGATTTTTACCTTTTTCTTTAATTAAAAGCCTTCTTTTTAAGAACCTGATTGATTTTTCCTTGTTTTTAGATCCAAGGGGGCTGGATCTTGATCCACCAGGAGTTGGTGGGAGAAAGGAGGGGGGGGATGGTTAATTTCTCCTTGTTTTAAGATCCAAGGGGTTTGCATCTTGATCCACCAGGAGTTGGTGGGACAAAGGAGGGGGGATGGTTAATTTCTCCTTGTTTTAAGATCCAAGGGGTTTGGATCTGTATTCACCAGGGAATTGGTGAAGAGTCTCTCAAGGCTACCCAGGGAAGGGAATTAGCACTTTGGGAGTGGTGGCAGCAGACCAAATCTAAGCTGGTAGTTAAGCTTAGAAGTTTCATGCAGGCCCCCACATTTGTACCCTAAAGTTCAGAGTGGGGAAGCAGCCTTGACACGCGCTGACCGCGGAACGTAACCCAAGTGTAAGATGAGACAGACCTGTACAAAGATAATGAAAATACGTTGGGATAGAGTTCAATTCATTTTAACTGATCTTGTATATATGCTAAATCTTCCCTAGTACTCCAGCATTTTTAGTGTTCTGTAGTGTTTTGGTTCTAGGCTAAACGCATGAGCTACTCCCTCAAAAGCAGGATGGGGATTGATTAACCTAGTTCAAAACTGGGCAGTTTTAAATCACTGGAGAGGAATATAGGAACAACACTGTTAAATGAAAACTTGCAACTAGAAATCTAGTCAATTTAAAAATAAGACTTAAGAGTAGCTTCAAGTATTACACTAGCCTATGAATTTCTCTGCCACTTCTTGAAGTTTTTACAGTCACATTTACCTATTTTAAAAATGTCTTCTCTCTTCATGTTGAACACTCAGACAGACAAAATGGACTAGAACGGAGTAAATGGTGAAAATGACTGTACACAAAGTACTGCCAAACACGTACAGCAAACAACTTGGGGGGGAGGGGGGGGGAAGATGTTTTCCTCTAAACTTTTCAAGGCATAATTTTAGGAATTTGTTTTAACAATAGCAGCTAAAATATTGTGAGACAGAAACGTTATTTTTTTAACTAGATGATGTCTCTAAGTGCTATAAAAAGTCACTCTTAAGCCCACTTATTAATAACTAAAATTCCTTCTCTCACAACTATCTTTAAAATATATTTGCCAAATAATTTAATTCACATGTCTTTTGTATTTTAGGCCTGGCTTAGATTACGACTCATTTATTTTGTAGTAACTTTAGTAGAAAATCACAAATTACAGCTAAATTTTATTTAGTTTTTTTTTCATTTTTTTATACCAAATGTCACTTGGCATGACACAGACACATGAATAGGAGGGGAATAAGCAAAAAGAGGGTCGGGGCACAGAGTATAATGAAAACAAAGTTAAGGGGAAGGTGGTATGGTGGATTATTTATGCATAAACATTTGGAGACTTCAAATACCATTTCAGGACAGAGATGAAAACAAGTATGGAGATGGGAGAACTTTATAAATTATTATTTTAAATTATTAGCCTTCTCCTATTTTCCATGGCAATAGGGTGATGGTAAGAAAAGGTTCAGGTGCACTGGCACAGATGAATAGAGAAATTTGCATATCAATTGACAACACTATGGCTAGCTCAAGAAAGTGCTGTTAGTCCCTTCTCTTCCTTAGCACTTAAATTCTCCCATAAAACGTATTTTATAAGGTGCTAACCAGGAACATTGAACAAAAAGGTATCAAATGAAAATGGAACATGTTTGGTATATACTAGTTAAAACTGCTTCAGTTTCAAGTGTAGGCAAGATTATTTTACCTCTGATTCCTGCATATAACTTCTATATATGGGAATCCCTTATGTACGATAGGGAGAATGTACAAATAATGCAACTGTAGACACAAACTTCAGTATTAGACATATATCTTCCAACACCCATTTTATAACTAGAAATACATTTTCTTGTAAGAAAAGCAAATACAGAGAACCTCTTGACATTAATTTTTGCTCTATCATAAAGCAGCAATGGAATACAAACTACTGCAAAATACATTTTGTGTGTTATCAGTCCTGACCTCCAAACTAATACTGCCTTTGACTCTGCTCCCACAGAAAAACATAAAACTTACATCAAAATCTTATTTTTTCTGCACTAGGAGCAAGAGAAAATTAAACTCTAGTGGCTCTTTCCTGTTACTGCTGAACACACGACTCCTATTGACTTCCGTGGGACTGAGCACATGCAACAGCAATACAACAAAGCCCTGGGATCCACTGGAGACTGCAAGTCCTATAAGTCACAAGGACCTGATTGATTAAATGAAATGTGTGAAAAGTTACTGACATTAACATGCCTACAACTTTAGGTTGAATTCCTGACTCATTAAAGCCAATGGTAATACTCCCATTGACCTCAGTGGGGCCAGGATTTCACCCATGATGTACAACCATTTCCAGGAGACCTTGGACAACAGAAAAATTCAGAAGCAAATGTTTCAGATTTGAACAGTTCACAAAAAAAAAAAAAACATCCACCTGCTTCAATATAGCATTCTGACTTAGTATTAGAGCAGTCATGGCTTTATGAATCCTGATGTCCACAACAGTTGATAGTCTAAGTAGGGTTATTACTGAGAAACAGGTTTCTTGACAATTGGATGACTGGCTCGGCTCTTTGTAAAGACCTGATTAGACTGCTGTTGTAGGAATACAGATTTCTCAATATCACTAAATAAAATAAGGAGTCACATGACCTAAACAGTCACTGAAAATAGTAAGCATTAAAACTGAAAGTTCTTCAGTGGGCAGAAAAATGTTAATGATAGGAAAAATAAAGAAGAAAGTAAAGTAATAAAGGCTTTACTCAAGTCTTTGGGGATGGCTATTTAGTAGGGCTGTATAAATAGACTGACACATATAAGTAGTTTCAGATAATACAAATTTGTATGAAGGCAAAGTTTTGGGTAAAAATCCTGGCCTTACTGAAGTCATAAGAACAGCCATACTGGTCAGATCAATAGTCCATCTAGGCCAGAATCCTGTCTCTGGTCAGTGCCAGATGCTTCAGAGGGAATGAACACAATGGGGCAATTTTGAATGATCCATCCCCTGCCATCCAGTTCCAGCTTCTGGCAGTTGGAGGTTTAGGGACACCCAGAGCATGGAGTTGCGTCCCTGACAATCTTTGCTAATAGCCATTGATGGACCTATCTTCCATTAAGTTGTCTAATTCTTTTTTGAACCCAGTTATACTTTTGGCCTTCACAACAATCCATGGCAATGAGTTCCACAGGTTGACTGCACTGTTTGAAGAAGTACTTCCTTATGGGGTTTTTTTTTTTTAAACTTGCCGCCTATTAATTTCCTCAGGTGACCCCTAGTTCTTGTGATAGGTGAAGTGGTAAATAACACTTCCCTATTCACTTTCTCCACACCATTCATGATTTTATAGACCTCTATCATATCCCTGCTTAGTCATCTATTTTGTAAAATGAACAGTCCCAATCTTTTTAATCTCTACTCAGAGCTGTTCCACACCTGTAATCATTTTTGTTGTAATTCTCTGCACCTTTTCCAATTCTAATATATCTTTTTTGAGATGAGGCGACCAGAATTGCACACAATATTCAAGGTGTTGGATTTATATAGTGGCATTATGATATTTTCTGTCTTATCATCAAGCCCTTTCCTAATGGCTCCTAATGTTGTTAGCTTTTTTGACTGCTCCTGCACATTGAGCAGATGTTTTCAGAGAACTATCCACCATGACTCCAAGATTTCTTTCTTGAGTGGTAATAACTAATTTAGATCCCATCATTTTGTATGTACAGTTGGGACTATATTTACTTTGCATTTATCAACACCGAATTTTATCTGCCATTTTGTCACCCAGTTTAGCAAGATCCCTTTGTAACGTCGCAGTCAGTTTTGGACTTCAATATTGTGAATAATTTTGTATTGTCCTCAAATTTTGCCACCTCACTGTTCACCCTTTTTTCCAGATCATTTATGAATAGACTGAACAGCACAAGTCCCAGTACAGATCCTTGGGGGACCCCACTACTTACCTCTCTCCATTGTGAAAAATGACCATTTATTCCTACCCCTTGTTTCCTATCTTTTTACCAGTTACTGAGCCATGAGAGGACCTTCCCTCTTATCACGACTGCTAAATTTGTTTCAGAGCCTTTGATGAGGGACTTTGTCTCAAAGACTTTCTGAATGTCCAAGTACACTATATTGACTGGATCACCCTGGTCCATCTTTGCTGACTGTCCAAAGAATTCTAATAGATTGGTGAGGCATGATTGCCCTTTACAAAAGAGCTATTGACTCTTCCCCAACACACTGTGTTTATCAATGTGTTTGATAATTTTGTTCTTTACTATAGTTTAAACAATTTGCCTGGCATGGAAGTTAGGCCTGTAATTGCCAGGAACACCTCTGGGGACTTTTTTAAAATAGGCATTACATTAGCTATCCTCCAGTCATCTGGTACTGAGGCTGATTTAAGCAATAGGTTGCATACCACAGTTAGTAGTTACCCTGGGAGGTTAAAAAGTAAAAAAATCACTTTAAAAGTATGTTTGTTTACCTTCCACTTGTATATTTGACTGGTCTACTAAAATCGGAAATGCAGCTTCATGGGATGAAATTTCATTCTCATCAAGATCAACACTAGAAGATACTGGAAGCTTTACCTGGATGAAAATATCACAGAGAAGTAACCGTATTATAGAAATTCAGAGAACATCTTAAAAACAATCCATGCACATTTGCAGGCACACAAGTGCATGCAACACATTTATAGCATTAATGCTCAAACCAGTCCTTAGAATGATCGTTGCAAGGAAATGTCTTAAGTTCATATTTTCCACTTTTTTTTCCTTTAGATTTACATCCATGAAAATCTTAACAGTAATTAACAGTAGATAAAGAATTATGGTATTTTCTTAGCTCACAGCAAGGTAATGGTCCCTCTATTTTGCCCAGTTAAGTCTGTAAAAGCACCTTACCTTTCACTTGTTACATACAGTATCTAAACTCACTGATTATACATAAAACATGTATACAATATATCTCATCTGTTCAATAAAATTACTATGTGCATATTTAGGGAATCAAGAATATAATATACCTTAAGATTGTATTGTCTGAGCTGTTTTACCTGTCAAGTACATACCAGCATCCCATACACTTCTCTCTCCCTTTCTCTTTTCTTTTCCTCTGCCCTTTCACTGACTACCCTCTCTCTGCTTCACCTAAGGGTATTTTTTGCTTCCTTTCACAGACATAGCATTTTGCTGCTTCTCATCTACTCTGTTACTTTTCTTTCTGTCTGTTAAATTATTAATATCATTTGGGCACAAAGCTCCAAATTGCACTTTACGTGTGCCCTAGAAGTGTTACACTGCTCTCTCGCTCTCTCTCATAGGCAGACAATCCAAATCCACGACATGGAAAAATCTACTGGAATCAAAGATGCGGGGTCTTTCTGATAACTGCTGTATGATTCAAAATCTCTCAGTCTCTAGGCATGTTGTCACGGATCCACAGGATCTGGTGAATGCCCAGCTTGTAACCAGTCCCTTGGGAGTGATACCTTTAGTGTGCCAGGCCCTGAGAACCCACATGGTTCTGCACAGGCAGGCTCCTAACCTCCAAGACTGGGCCTTTAGGCACCAGCAAACCCTGTCTTTCTCCATGGCTCCCTGCAGCAGATCCAACCAAGCCAGACTCCCATGGGAGGCTTGTACTGTACCCCTTCAGCTCCCAGTATTTCCAGAGACAGCAGGCAGCAAACAGAATCTGAAAGTCCTTAGGTTAGCAAAGACAGGCAAAGGTTAGCCATAGTCCATTCCAGCCAAGTTGTGATGGACTCCATCTCTGTCCCTGTCTCTATCTTTCTCACCCCAGGTGAGAGCAGCCAACCCTTTATCCCTTGGCTGGTCACCTCCCAGTCATCTGTTATCCAGACAGGACCACACACAGTTCACAACCCCCACCTGGCAGCGCTTCCTCCTGTTGAGTGTAGATCATTCACTTTCTGGACCCTCTGTTGATCTGGGTTGATTTCAACCAGTTCCTTAACAACCCAGTCATTTCACCCCAACAAGGAAGTGACACATACACCTCATATCTCCTGTGCTATTCCAGGAACAGTGTTAATCCTTTTGCCCCTCACTGGGTGGGAATGCAAAATACAGAGGGAAACTGAGGCACATATAGGACTCAAACATATTACAAAAAATTTCCACTTCCTCACATAGGCATCTATCTGCTCATCACTGTGATATTGGAGCAATAGCTAAGCTTTCAATATTTGTAAAAGTGATATTTCTTGTACTTCTAGTTTAAAAAATAATCTTTATAACATACAGTAAATCAGTAATAGTTGGACACTTGAGTCTTCAACCCGAGGCTGAAACAATAACCCCAAAGAGATTTTGATTCTGAGAACTATGCATCCCACACACAAACTATTGGATATGGATCTTGCTACAATTACTCATCACCTCAAGATTAGATTATTCTAATGTACTGTCCATGGGGCTACACTTTAAGGTATTTGGAAACAAGTTGGTATGGCACATAGTTGTCTGTACATTAAGTGGTGCTACAGGCACTGAGAACATTATACTAACAGTCTGAGATCTGTACTGGCTTCCAACTAGTTTCCAGGTAGAATTTGAAGTGTTCTGTCACTTGTAAAACGCTCAATGGTTTGGGCCCAGACTACCAGAGGGACTACCTTGTACCTCCAGGTAATACTGAAGCACACTGTGATCATCTGCAAAGACACTCAATCTAACAGCTCCATGTCTATGATGGCCCTTTGACTCTAACTCGCCTCCCACCTACTCTGACAAAGGCCAGATTATTTGGCCTTCAGGGCCTGCTGCAGACACTCATCTATTTTCCCAGGCTTTTCAGGGAGGAGTGGGTTGAAGTATGCGGTTGGGAATGGTTGAGTGCAAATTATTATTTAGTGGTGGTGGTTGCATTAAGACTTAACTTATTAAATGAGCTAAGTGTGGTATTAAAATGTGCTATATCATTAAGTGACTTTGGGTGACGGAGGTTTTGGTTTTATTTATCCTTTTATTTGTATATGTGCATAGAGCTTGGAAGGATGCTCTTAATATATCTTAGTAAATAATAAGCAAATAGGTACTATGTTCACTCAGTTGGACAAGTTAAAGAAGTGGGGTATGCTATTTCTAACCATTATGTAGGTTTGTGATGTGCAATTTTGCCAATATGCTGTTTTGTAGATTTTAACTATCTTTGTGCATCAATAAAAAGCAGGTAGGTCAACTTTCATGCCAACCAGCCATCACAGTTGGCATGAAAGTTGACCTACCTTCCAGGAAATATATTTCAAATAAATGTAAAAATATTGAAAACTACTTTGAAACTGCAATTCTTTTATTTTAAACTTGATTTCGCCCTATATTTTGTCATAATAAAACATGAAATATAGAAACAGCTCCACCTTATGGCCACGATTATATCTGTTATCTTTTTGTAACTGAAGTAAGGCCAGTGAATGTATCCTTTGGTGCAGGAGTCAAGACTTTCTTGAATTAAGAAATATACATAAAATGATGTCAACATTTACATAAAGCAAAGGTGATGGAACTGATTCCTATTTCTGTTATACCATTGTCATTCAGGATTAATTCCACTTACATCAATGGGGACGGACTAATGTAAAACAGGTCTGAAAGCAGAATCAGGAAATGGGGTCTAATGTGTAAATCAAACAAGTTTTCCAATTAAATTGAAGATTTTTTTTTACATTTGTTGGTGAATGAGAAACTCCTTCTATAGCAGGTATCTGTAACTTTTCCAGCTGAACATATATATTTTCAATTCCTAACGTGTCTGAGCACAAAAGAGCCACTTGGTTGCTAGAGATGACATAGTAATAATATTCAATGCATACATTGTTTTAAATTTACTAGAAATTCAGGCAATTCTAATACATTAGGAACAAAATGTATTGTTTAGCTTATATTTTGATTAATAAAAGTAGCAGTTTTGTTGTTACGGGTCATTACGCTCCCTGAAATGCCTTTATATGCAAGATAATAAGTTATTTCCTATTATGTCTTGAGAAAATATTGCAAGAAACAGAATTATTTTTTTCCAAGATGGAATGACTCCAAATCCAATCAGGCAAGGAACAAGTTAACAGCCTGAGGTGGAGGAAATGAAAGAGGGGCCTTCCTCACACCAAAGAAACTGCCAGGGCTTCCAGTTATGAAGGGTGGATCCTCCAGCTGGGGCTCATTAGAACAGGAAGAAATAAATAGAAGGCATTAGTAAATGGACTTATTCCTTTCTAGGAAGAAAAAGAGGTTGAGGAGGCTCCTGGACTGGACCAAAACTCTCATGGAAAATCATCTGTACAGAAAATCTTGATCCCAGGAGAAAGCTGTGTTTTGCTGTAGGGAAAACAGTGAGTGGGAAACTGTTTTGTTCTTTTATTTTGGATCTGGCTAAGGGAAGGCTTGACAGATACCTTTACTCTTGATTAGGGCTGAGAATTCCCAGTTGTGGGTATATGGTGTCCTTAAAAGAGTAGGATGCTTTATTTTTTCTGCTGGTTAATAAAGGCTCTATGAAGCTATTTGATTTAATGTAACTTGGAAACAATCACAGGTCCTCAGTGGGTATTTACTATTTGGGGACCTGAATGGCTAAAACTATGCTACCAACCCTTACTGTCCCTCCAAATATAGGCAGGCCCATAAAAATAAGCATCATCAATGGGGTAGGGGGAGGTGATTGAGGTTGACAAAACGCAGAGGCTGAAACGGGCTGGGCAAGGAGACTGACTAGGAGATGGAGAGAGACTCAAAGCCAGATGGCTGGAGAGGAAGGGAGCACTGAGATTGAATGAGGAGCTGAGGGGACTCGGGAGGCTGGGAACAGCTGGACAAAGAGACTGGGCCTAGGAAGCAGTATGGGGGGATTCAAACAGATCTGATGAGGAGCAAGGGTTGGGGAGAGAACTGAGACTGGCCGGGCAAAGAAACTGGGACAAGGGAGCGAGGTGCAGGACAGAGACTGAGATTTGAATGAGAAGTCCAGAGAGGGGGCAGATTACTGGAGGCCAGAAAGATGGGACAAAACAGATTGGATGAGGAGCTGGGATGAGGGGGAGTCAAGGGGTGTGTGTGTGTGGTGAGGGTGGGGGAGACTGGGAATGGTGAGGGAGCATCAAAGGGGAATCTGGGAGTGGAAAGGTGATAGGAATGGTTTAGATAGAAGGGGTCAAGTTTGTAGGGTAGCAGGGACAGACAGAAGGGTCTGTGGTCACTTGAGCCCACTCCCCTTCAGAGCCTGCAATGGAATCCAAGATTTCAGAGTCTCATCATTCCTATGCTTTCAGCAAACATCTCTGAAATCCAATGGCAAAGTGTATCACGTCCCCCTCTATTACTGGTCCACAGAGAGGATGACCTCTTATTATTGCTATTAGTTACTCTGTTAGTTCAAATCATAGAGGTCTGTGAGGTGGGCTAAATGATGCAACCCTGCTGATAAACCATGTGGGTGTCAATATGATGCCATTTGGGTATCAATATGATGTGATTTCCGTGTGTGTTTCTTTTTTAAAAACCTAGTTTTTGTATAATTTCTTATGTTGAAAGAATGTGATTGAAATTGCTAAGTTAAGACCTAAAGTTAAGAAATGCCAGAATTAGGGGTTACCAGTGCAACCTTAATTTGGCCTTGTCTGTACACATTATGATACAGTCTTTAATGACATAATCACATAATACTATTTTCTCCACTGGACCCTTGCCTCTGGCAGTCCACAAGCTAGACCTGCTTTGCAGATGAATCAAGGTAATGTCGCTGACTGTAAGATCCCTGCCTCATTTGTTGCACAAGTAGGAAAGGAGGCAGGGGAATGCAGGAAGAATAAGGATGGTCTCGTGGTTAAGGCAGCTGAATGCTGGGCCAGAGAACTCAAGTCTATCCCTGCCTCTGCCATAGAATTCCTGTGTGATGCCAGGCAAGTCATACTAACCAATTTTTTCACAGCTGGTCATTAATTGTGTGTTTCTCATTTTCTGGGTATCTCCCTTGATAGCCTGAAGTTTGGTTTGCAGAAGTGCTGAGTGCTCACAGCGGCAACTGAAGTCAATGGGAGCTGTATTTTAAACATACAAAGTACTATATAATGCTAAGATCTCTGAAAAATTAGGTCCTAGACATCGAAAATTGGACACTGAAAATTAGTGGATGCTTTTGACCTTAATCTCTTTGTGCCTCAGCCCTTTATCTGTAAAATGGGGATAATATTACTCCTTCACATCACAGGGGTGTTGTGAAGATAAATTAATGTTTGAGAAGCACTTGGATATAGTGATGAGCGCCATAGAAAAGCCCATAAGGAAACTAATAATTCAGCACAAGATTTGAATAGCACAGCAGTTCTCAAACTGTGGATCGGGACCCCAAAGTGGGTCGCAACCTTGTTTTAATGGGGTCGTCAGACTTGCTGGGGCCTGGGGCTGAAGCCAAAGCCTGAGAGCTTCAGCCCTAGGTGGCAGGGCTAGGTTACAGCCCCCACCCGCTCAGGGCTGAAGCCCTCAGGGGGGCAGGGCTCGGGCTTTGGCTTCGACCCCCCCCGCCCGGAGTGGAAGGGCTCGGGCTTTGGTCCCCTTCCCGGGGTCGTGTAGTAATTTTTTTTGTTGTTGTCAGAAAGGGGTCGCGGTGAAATGAAGTTTGAGAAACCCTGGAATACAATATAGTAAACAGGGCCCAAGACTACACATTGAACAATGAAAATAAAACAAAACAGTAAATAGCTGCTCATTAAATGATCACTGTTCATTCTGTGCCTCAAATGAGGTAAAGGTCCTGTGGAAAAGAGAGTATGTAATGTAATTAAAAACTGTATCATCATGCACACAAAGCAGATGAATTCAGATTGCACAGGCAACCTTAATTCTGGCAATTCCTAGCTTCTGAGTGGTTGATTTTGCACCAGTGATGTTCTTTTAATGTAGTTGTTTGTGTGTGTGTGTTTATATGTATACAAATCATTATTCCAATTTCTGGAAGTTATAAAGTGTTTATAATTCACATGACTTGAGCTCTCCACGCCATTCCTCTCCACAGTCTAAAGTGTAGGTTTCATACTCAGTGTATTGAACACCTTTATAAGCCAGCAGTGAAACTCTGGGGACAAATTTTCAATAAGAGCTTCTAATCTTACCAGTGCAAACAACTCAGGGTACAAACGACACCGTTTAAATTACTATCTGATGTGTGCCCACAAACATTTGCAGCTGTATATCACGTTAACAGATACCTATAAACTATCATTTGCGCCTGCAAAATTGCAGGTGTAAAATAAGGTTGGACTGCAGCCTCTGTGGAAAATGTTGCTTCCAAAATGTGGACTGAGGGTTGCATGCTTTCCTCAGCCAATTATGCATCCTCATTAAATGTAAAATAAGGTGCCAAAATACCACATTTGTTTCCTGGCAACTTCTAAATCATTCTGATAAGAGAAACCCCAAAATCACCAGAAATGTGGGTGACTGTGAATGTTTGAATGAAACTAACTTGGAGAACTCCAATCAGAGGTAAGTGAAGCATGAGGCAAGAATGAAAAATGCAAACTGGAAACAATGTGTATGAATAGTAGAAAAAGGTGTAATAACCCTTTTTCAGACATTCAGATTCTTACATTTTGTATTAAAATGTGCAAAAGAAACTAAGTGACCAACCTTTTTATTTTTATAGGGAACAGCATAAATAGCATCATTGCTGAAGCTTTCCTCTCTTTTCTCTGTACCCTGATAGTTGTGCTCTGGCTCTTTTTCTGTCTCTGAAAGATATGTGTCCATGTCCTCATCTTCACAAGGATTGCCTGACACTTCCAGCGACTGCACAGGAGATCTTTCACTATCATCATGCTTCCAATTGGGCCTGCAAATGGAGAACACTTTAAAATACAAAGTTGTTCTTTTCCAAAGAACAAAGGCTAGTAAAGCTAAAAGGGTCACACTGAACATATATGCAACAGCAGATGCCCAAAAAAGACAATTAAATTTCTTTAACAGCAAACACAATGGTCCAGAATTTCAGCTGTTCACACTCTTGTTTATGCTAGTGAAACTGGATACACCTTTAACCCGATATAATGTGACCAGATATAACACGAATTCAGATATAACGCGGTAAAGCAGTGCTCCGGGGGGCCAGGACTGTGCACTCCGGCGGATCAAAGCAAGTTCGATATAACGCGGTTTCACCTGTAACGCGGTAAGATTTTTTGGCTCCCGAGGACAGCGTTATATTGGGGTAGAGGTGTATTTGCATCCCCCGCCTCTGATAGTTAGACACATGAAACTGTGTATTTTTATGGGACTGCCAGATTGGGGACAGAGAAAGAGAGGTCTACCATTTCTACATATGGAGTAGTCTGTGGAGAATATAGTATGGGTCAAGGGAACTACCTTATGTGCAACTCAGATGATTCCCTAAGAATAATTGTGCAAATGGGAGTGAGTTGGCAAACATTCATATGCACATTTTTACTGGTATGCCTTGCTGCACTATTCAGTCTTTCCCCTCTGGAGTCTGTGGTTATAACACTGCCATACATGAAACGGAAAATGGGGGAAAGGGAATGGGTGGGCACTCTGGACTCAATCTAGGACCTTGAAGGGAAAAGATAAGTTTAAATGAGTAACTTAAGTGCTAGGGATTATTATGAGTACCACCATATCACTTTCAGATTTTATTTCCAATGTGAGGTGCTAAAACAGGAAGTGTACATTACCCCAGTTTGAGCTCAGTGACTGTGGCATAGGGCTCAATAAAACACTCTTGTTCTAAACAGCTGGTATCACTTTCAGAAAATGATCGTTGACGAGGCTGGGGAATAGCAACGGTACGCCCAGTTAAAGTTGTCACTAGAATAGCTGCTGCTAGGGCAGATCTAGAAGAAAGGAAAATAAAACAGTGAAATAAAACACACTGTGATGTATTCTCTATGGCTCAAAACTTGTATCTGTACCTTTTGTGAAGTACCTTCACTAATTAGGCAATAGCACAAAGTTTAAGATTTAACAATCATATAATAAAAAAATCTTAAAATACTAAGGGAACTGATTTAAACCACCAACCCACAAAGATAGTTAAGGCATAAACTCAGCTATAACTAGGCACTGCAGAATTCTGTGAAAAATGTGTTCCATATCCCACTTTTCTACATCACATGCACAGAAATCTCAGTTACTTTCATGGAGTTGCACATAAGAAACGAAGGGCAGAATCTGCCTCAAGCATTCCACAGTACCCATTATCATCCCCAGGTGATGTGTTGTAAGGAGTGCCCCAGGTCCTGCCATGTAGTTGGTGGGCCTATATTCCCTACTCTGCTTCTGCTGTTGACTTTGAGGCTGGCAACTAATGCTGTAGGATTGTGAACTGGGATAAGGGAGAGGGAGTGTATTTTGGGGGGATGGAGTTGAAGGGTGAGGAGAGGAAGGATGAGGAAGGTGGAGAGGAAAAACAATGGAATCGGAGTAAAAAAGGTGAAATAAAATCACAAGAAAAGAGAGAACTTGAGGGCCAAAGAGAAGGTAGAATGAACTGGAGTTGACTGAGGACATACTAGACCAGAGGTCGGCAACCTCTGGCATGCGGCTCGCCAGGGTAAGCACCCTGGTGGGCTGGGCCAGTTTGTTTACCTGCCGCGTTGGCAGGTTCGGCTGATCGCGGCTCCCACTGGCCACGGTTCGCCGTCCCAGGCTAACGGGGGCGGTGGGAAGCGGCGCGGGCGAGGGATGTGCTGGCCGCGGCTTCCCGTCGCCTCCATTGGTCTGGGACGGCGAACCACGGCCAGTGGGAGCCGCGATCGGCCGAACCTGCCGATGCGGCAGGTAAACAAACTGGTCCAGCCTGCCAGGGTACTTACCCTGGCGAGCCGCGTGCCAGAGGTTGCCGACCCCTGTACTAGACACAGGAGGGAAACAGATGGGGACTGACACAGAAAGAAGACTGAAGAACAACTACCAGGAGTGAAGGAAAATGTAGAGAAAGGAGAGAAAGTGGACTACAGTAGGGGACTAAAAATGGAAAGGAACAGAAAAATAACTTCTTATAACATTTATATGGTACCATGGGTCTGCATTGCTAACTCAAAGGATGTTTTATTCATTTTCTTATTTTCACACCTATTTTAGGAGCACCTGTTGAAGGGGTGATTTTTTTTTAATTACATAATTCTTTAATAAACTGTAAAGTTTTTTTTCCTTTAGTGTGGGGATATTAATGCATTCTTCACTTGAGGAGACCAGTACTTCTAAAACTAGTCCTGACAGCACCTAAGTATAGTGAAGTAGGAAAGCTCTTTTTTTTTTTTTTTTTTTTTTTTAATTGTTTTCCTTCAAACCAGCTTTTTGGTGTTAATTCAGTCATACAACATTTTTTTCTTTTAGATTTTAATTTGGTTTCTAAATTCTGATTTAACTGAGGTTGCATTTTTTTGCAGTTACTTTAACAATAATCTTTTTAAAAATAATCTTATTCCACTCCTTATGACAAATTCCTCTCCCCAAATAAAAACCTACTACTTGATCATATACCTCTCATTTCAATCAGTGCTTGTAGTTTAAAGAAAACTTCTAGATATGTCAAATTTTGAAAGCAGTTATAAAAACCCTATGAACTTGTCTCATGACTTCTTTTTTTTTTTTTAAATCTGCCATTTTAAAATATTGTACTATTATACTGAAAACTCCAGTAACAAAATAATCATAGCTGTTTACTAGACAGAAACTACTTTATTTTAGTGATGAAGCAAAGACATATAGTAATAAGTGTTTCATAATCTGGGCACTCTTGGTAATAATTAATAAACCATAAAAGTGGTTTTACCTGGGTTAGCCAGGTAATAAAAAGATTTTATAATTAAACTTAATTTTTCAATCAATTACTCATCCAAACACAGCACAAATGTAAGCAACTTATTTGAAATTTATGAAGTTGTGACTGCTTATGCTTGGCATGAACTTGGCCTAAAACAAAACAAAAAAATCAGGCTATTTAATCAATCTGCCTGTGTAAAAGGCAAGGTTCAAGGTTTATTTAACATTAAATGGCCTGATCCTGCAAACATACATATGAGTAGCCCCTATGAACTCAACTCAACTTTTTTTGTGTACACATGTTCACAGGGTCAGGCTGCCTACCTGTCTGCATGTGATGAACTGCAGGACTGGGGCCTTCTTTTGTACTGGTGCTCTTATTTAGAGCCTGATAATGCAGTCACTCTGTAAGTAAACTAATGGGAATTTTGCCTGTGTGGAGGCAGCAGCATCACATTCTTAAACTTAAAGCTGCTGGGTCAGGGACCTTTGTCTACATTTAGAATGCTTGATATGCTGCTGGCCTTCATTAAATATTGAATATCCAGATCCTCAGTTTTCATGAAACAGATTTTTTGTATTGCTAGACTAACTACAAGAAAATGGAAACTCAAACAACCTCCACTTAATGTTGCTGTACTCGAATAACACATTAATTAACTTTTGTCAAAACATAAAACAAATGTCTTTTGGAATTGTCAAGAAATTACAGTGCTTCTCACACCTGTATTTAATCCTTGATTATAGGAATTAAGAGGAATTATGTTTGCCAGAAACTGGGAATGAGCAACAGGGGATGGATCACTTGATGATTACCTGTTCTGTTCATTCCTTCTGGGGCACCTGGCACTGGCCACCATCGGAAGACAGGATACTGGGATAGATGGACTTTTGGTCTGACCCAGTAGGGCCGTTCTTATAACAAGCTCCACTTAGACAAAAAATAGTCCAAAATAGACTTTCTGCATGTAACAATTCCTAGTAATTTCAATTGGAGTTACATGTACATAAAGGCTACAGGATATGGCCTTGGCATTATTCTGGTATTAAGAATGCTTGGGGGAAGGGGAGAATAATATAGATCTTAGTAGTACAAACAAATTGTCCTATACAGAAAATATATTCCGCTTGAGAAAAGGGTTACATAAAAGAGCTACAGTATAGATATGCAATTATTCTAATCATGCAGTTCTACTACACTGATTATTGTAATTCCACTGTAACTAATGATACTTAAGAGAGGAAAAAGAAGTAACTTTAAAACCTACCTGGGCCTTTCTGGAGAAGGGTTTGGACTACGAGGGGGAGGGGTGCGGGGAACTGCAGGTTTAGGAGCTATGGTAGCAGCAGGGACCAGGCCATGAGCTATATGTTTCTAGACAATTTAAAATAAAGTTAGTTGGCAATGATCTGAAGGATAACAACACAAAACTGAACATGTACACTTACTATACAAAATAACACAAAAGGGGAGAACACTTACATGCAAATTAATGTCCATAGATGATTTCAAGAGATTCTAAATATGATTTTTAAATTATATTAATAATTGTTACTACTAGGCAACAGTTTGTGATTCATTCAAATCCCACAAGTGTATTTCTCCCATTACTCCCAAGTCACAAAAGTAAGGTTCTAAACTGCACACTTGCTACCACCACTACTTTTTGTGCATGTGTAGGGGTAGTGGTGCCAAAAGAGAACGTGTTTCTTCCAAAAATTTTAAACTCTGCCTCCCCAACATTACCACAACGTGATCCTTCCTCTAGTGAAGATGACTATATAGAGGCCACTAGTTGAAGGGTCTATCAGTACTACCTCTTCAGTTAGTCACAAGGGATCACCAGACAGAGCAACATGAGGAGATGGGGAAAGAAATTAAAATTAAACCAGTCAAAGTTTAGTTTGAATGGGGGGGAAATGTTATGAAGTAGCGCCTAAGACTTGCGTAATGCTTAGTACTTGTTGAGTAGAGCTAGCACTAGTGACTCTTTTGCAAGGGAGTTTGCTGTACCAGGGCCCAACCCTTTGGGCAAATTTCACTACTTTGGGGAGTACACGGGGGTATGTATTTAAGATTTCAGCTGAAGGGAATTTGTTCTGATCCTTAAATGTCCTTTTATTATCTTGGTGTGGGAGTAAACTGACAGCTATACAAATTGGGAAGGAATTTTGCCTTTTCAGGCAATTGTACTAATTTACTAGCTCCTGAGTTGGTGCAATATAGAAACTCTCTCCTTCACTGAATAATCAAGTAGAGGTCACTGCTTCCAGATCCTGGATTTAATAGCCAATGTTCTGAATTGACATGACTCATCCTATTTTTTTTTTTTAAGTGAAACATTTAATGGTCTGGTAATTAGTACAGAGGTCTTCCTATTATTATTAAGAGGCAACAGTACCAGTGTGAATAGCAAGCTAGTACTCCACCCAGAGCAGCAAGAAAGCAACAAAAAGCTGAACGATTCGGGTTTTTTTTATTCTCATAATGAAAAAAATAAATTTTAATGTGCATTCTAAATGTTCTCTGAAACCCAAGAATGCAGGTGTCCGAATCAGTTTTAAAAAAAAAGTTGTTTGCTGTTTTTTTGTGAATTCAAGCAGTCTTTGCAATCTAAATTTCTATTATCAACTCAGCTGCTGAAACAGCACAAGCTAGGTGAGTACACATGTGTTTCCTGGACAAGTCTAGGCAGCATGACAAGTCTATAGGCATCACTACATTGTACAAGTGGTTATTGCCCCAGCCTGCATTGGTATCCCCACTTCTCTCCTGCCCCAAAGGTGAATGATAGGTTGGGATTGGCCGTGGGGTACCCAGAGTGGCATTTGGGGGGGTGGGAGCAGGAGAGAGAAGGGGTAGTTAAAGAACTGAGTGAAGAGGGAGTGGGCCTTATTTACTCTCTCCTCCAAGATGCCAAACCACTCCTGTGCAGAACGCCCCCTGATCATCCAGTGCACCCTGGGGCGAGTCTTCTGGTTTTGAACATTGAACAAACCACCCAACCCTCAATTTCAACGTCAGGTTAGCGCCAGGCATGATGAGATTTACGTTGCCTCGCGGGGGGGAGGGAGGGAGAGCAGCTGATCTGCAGGGTTTAGACGGTTCCCCTTTTCACAGGAGATACTAGAGACAAGCGAAAATGCTGCTGAACTTTTCACTCAGAAAAGGGATAACGACGGTTTGCCCAGGCCTCTCCTACGTGGGACTATGGCCACCCTCATGTAACGGGATTCGCGTTTGGTGTCACGGGCCTGGGAAGTGCTTCACGTTCAGCACGGTCTCTGCAGAAGGGGCAGGTCCAGCCTCTGGGGACACCTGGGCCAGGCTAAAGCCGGACTGTACGTAGCTCGGCCGCCTCTTGCTCAGCACTGCGGGGGGCGTCCACCCGCGCACCGGCCACGCCCCCCGGGGTCCCCTCCGTTGGATTGTGACCCCCTCGGACTTGCGGGATAATACTCACAAAGGGGCCCGTCCGGCCTCTCCTGAAACTAAGCGCCATAAGCGCAGGCTGAGGAGGGGAGACTAGAGCCAGACTGGGACCAGCCCCGCTACCACGGCCATCTCCACTCACAGAAGCTGTCCCTTCACAACCGGCTTTACAACAACAGCGTGCCTGATTGGAGAAAGGGAAAGCCGCAGCCAATCAGCGCTGGCCTTACTTATCCTTCCGCTCCCCTTAGCAACCCTCAGCCGTTACTGATGTCTACCTTCCCGCCCCGCGTTTGCTATTGGCGATTCTCGACTCCCATTGGTGGTTGCCTGTGTCAATCATCTTCGACATTTGGCGCGGGTGAAGCAGGCGCTCTGGTTTGGTTTGCTGGCTGCAGCGTAAGCAGAGGACGGTGGTTCTGGCGGCACGGGACGGCGAGGCCGGCCGTTCTGAGAAGCTAAGCAGCTGCGGGGGCTTCGAAAGCGGATCTCCCACGGAGGGGTGATAATCCCACGGCGCTCCTGTAAGCGACTGCGCTTTAGCCCCAGCGTCGTGACCAGCCGGCCCCCTTAAACCTCCCTGATGGTTCGCGCTGGGGCGTGTGCTGCTGCCCTCTCCTATCTGATGGGGCGGACTGAGCCCGGGGCCCCTGTGCACTATCCAGCCCCTGCCCTGCCGCACGGCTGAGGCCATGATTCCTCACGGCAGCAGGTGCAGAGCGCTGTGGGCGTCAGTACAAGCCTTCACCTTACTGAGGCACAGACACTCCCAGTTAGGGTGACCAGATGTCCCGATTTTATAGGGACAGTCCCAATATTTGGGGCTTTTTCTTATATAGGCTCCTATTTCCCCCCCACCCCCGTCCCGATTTTTCACCCTTGCTGTCTGGTCACCCTACTCCCAGTGTGAACTACTGCTAGGCACTCGGGAAGGGTCCTGCAATGTATGTGCTGTGGATGTCTCTCTCTGCGAGACTGGTTGTCTTCTCTGGCACAGCTGCAAGTCCCAACATCACTGACTCATGGGATATTTGGTGCTTTTTCTTAGTCTTGTTGCTTGGAGTCATGTGATTACAGAGCAACCTAAGTATGTTGCTAGCCCTCATGGTTGCAGCTTGGAAAGGTGAGGTGAGCCCTAAAGGCTCAAAACTAGAGGACAAAATTAAAAAAATATAGTTTACGCTAATCTCATTTCTGAGAGCCTGACTCTGGATTTTTGACCACTTGGCGTTGGCAAATATTTCTTCAGTGACCTTTCTATTAAAAATACAAAAAAACTTTTAGAGACAACTGAAGGAATTGGAAGAGCTTTTGAAGGCTGATAGATGAAATTGTGGGGCTGAACTTTAAATTTGGGGTTTTTTTTTTTCAATTGATGGCAGAGCTGGGAACAGAACCTACCTCTCCTGATTTCTAGGCCTGTGTTTGAACCACAAAAATATCCTTCCTCTCCTGTTTTCTTATTTTAACCAACTAATATAGTGCATTTTGAAGGACTGGCTAGAACCTGTTGTAGATGATTGCAGCCAGACTAGACTGTTGGATGGATTTTGAGGCTGGGTGGTAAGGGATGAAATAACATTTTTCACATTCCCCTGTTTAGCTGCTGGTAAATAACATGTAAAAGGAGTTTAAATGACAGCAAAAGAAACCACTCCTGATGAAGCAGGAGCTGTTAGTGTCCCTTACGGACATGTGATTGGAAATGAGAAATGGAGAGGGTCACAGATAGCTCAAGGATTACAAGGTAAGCATGTAAATAGAGCACAAAAATATATAAACTAGTCTACATGTAGAGTAACTCTTTTCAAAGTGGTTTTAATACTGATTCCAGCTAATCAAGCAATCAGCTTTGTCTTATATAGAATTTTAAAAATAAAGTAAACTGCAATTGTACTGGCTTAAAAGTTCCCATTTGTCCATCATAACATTGTTTTCCATATCCTAGCTTCAGTCCAGTCACGCTCACTCTCTGTGCAATACAAATGAGAAGCTGCCAGTAACGTGTATTAGAATTCTATTCTTTACAAACATAGGCCCAAGTCCTGCAAAAGGATCCATGAGGGTAGACCCCATTGAAGTCCCTGGGCTCTACCTGGGTATAGAGACCACATTAGTGTGTCTAGGTTCAGGATCAAGTCATATTTAGGAGATACTTTTAGAATCACATAGAAGTTAGTGGAAAGTCATAACAAAATGCTTGTTTTTTGTTCAAAATGTGCTTTACTGAAGAGAGCCCCCATTCTTTGACTATATATTTTCAAAGTTAACACGAGTAATGCCAGCCTCCCATTCCCCTCTGACTCTTTCTCCTCACAATGCAAACATACTTCAGTCTTTCCCATCTTAAAACTGCCCTTGACTCCACGTGCTTCTCCATCTATCACCCCTTCTCCCTTTTATCTCTAAGCTCATTGAATGGAGCTCTTTACAGTTGCTGTTTGAAGCTTCTCTTCTCCAGTTCTATCCTGGACCCTCTCCGCTCTGGTTTCTGCCCCTTGCACTCAACTGAAACCCCTTTTTTTCCAAACTCTCTAATTACCTCTTCTTAGCCAAATCACAGAACCAGTACTGCATCCTCATCCCCCTTGGCTTGTCAGCTACCTCCAACACTGTAGACTGTGCTGTTTTTTAAATATGTCCTCTCTTGGCTTCCGTGACTCTGTCCTCTCCTGGTTCTTCTACTTTTATAATCACTCCTTCAGATGATCTTTCTCTTCCCCTCCATCCCCACCAGCTTTCTGTGGGGGTTTCACAGGGCTCCGTCCTTGGTCCCCTTCTTTTCTCCTTCTCCACCTTATCTCTGGGTAGTCTCACCCACAAACACAAACTACCATCTCTATGCTGACAACTCACAGATACACTTCTACTTCAGATTTTTCTTCTCTGTCCAAACTAAAAACTCTGCTTGACTCTCTGATATCTTGCAGATGTCTAGTCATTGACTGAGCTCAACCTGGCTAAAGCTAAGCTCCGCATGCATACATCTCCTTGCTACCTCATTTATTGATCACTGTGGACAACACTACCATCCTGCCTGTCACTCAGATCCATGTCCTGGGTGTCCTTTTCGACTCGGACCTCTCTAGGTCCTCAAATTCAGATTATCGTAACATGTTGCTGGGGATACCCAGAGCTGTGAGGCACTGTGTTTTCTCTGCCTCACCAAGAGTGAGCTTTGCTGTAGATTAGATTGTCAGCTCTTTGCAACACCAGCCTGTCTTCCTTACCAGCATATTCCTCGAGACTCTACCAGTCTTAACCCTTGCCTAGCAGGTAACAATCACTGAATTCCAGCCCCTGAGCTCCTCAGAGATGTCACTCTGCAAGGCACAGCACTTATCACTATACATTTGCAGAAGATATTAAGTTCTCTGCTCTTTTAAAGAGTCAGTACATTACAGCTTATTAACTTAACTGGGGTTAACACACCCTTCCCTTCAAACACTGCACTGAGTTGGTTTATAATAAAAAATAAAACAGGTTTATTAATGAAAGGACATAAGTTAAGTGATACCAGGTAGAAGGAATAAAGATAGAATTGGTTACAGAAGCAAAAGTAAAAATACACTTTCTCATGGTTAAAACCTACCTTAACAAGTTACAGTCTGTTCAAGGTAGCTTCTTCACCCATCTTCCTTTCCTCTCAATAGCTGGCTAATTCTTAACTAGGATCCTTGCAGGGTCCAAGGTGTTGGTTTTCCTTGTCTGCTTAGGTGAAAGATAACTTAAGGACATACGAAAAGTCTTTTTTGTATCTTAAAGTCATCTTTTGTTTCTAGAGTCAAATTGAGCCCTTGGGGTTCAGTCTCTGGCCTTTTCTGCTCCTTATTCATCTTGACGCTATGCTTTCCTTTGTTCTAGTTCTTTCCCAAAATAAACAAAATAATAAAACTGTAACCTTTCTTTGACTGTTCCCAGCCTTTTCACTTAAAAATCACTTAAAACTATTTTACCAGTGCCACTGTAAAATGCTACAGGTTTCTGCCTCCCTTTCCTTGGCTCTCAGATCAGCTTTTCTGGCTCGTTGGTGTGCTTTCCATTTTTGGTGGTCACAGTCATCCACATAACTAAAACTGCCATCCAAGCTCTCACATCTTGTGTCTTGATTACTGCAGCATCCTGCTCTCTGGCCTTGAGAAGTGCAGTCTTGCCCTCTGATATCCATTCAGAATGCTGCTGCAAAATCATTTTCCTAGCCTGTCATTTTGACTGTGTCACTGCTCTTTGCATCCCTCCTATCTCCACCTTACCTATCATATCTCACTATCAATATGTCCTTTCCTGCCCCCAGTCAGCCCATGATGCCAGCCACTTGTTAAAATTTCAAACAAGCACCTTTGTGCTATTTCTCATGCTGCCCCTCATGCTCTGGTAATTATCTGCAAAACCACTTCATTGTGTTCCTTCAAATCTCTCCTTAGAACTTTCCTTTGCTGTGATGCCTACACAAAAATCATGGCAGTTAGATTGCTGGTGTGCTGAGAGCACTGCCTATCATGCTGACCAAGATTCTCTCACTGTTTCCTTGTACTCTCCTGTCTGTAGCCATCTCTCGGGTTTTATATTGGGTTGTATGCTTTTTGGGGCAGGGTCTTTTTTTTTTTTTTTTTTTTGTTCTGTTTGTACAGTGCCTAGCACAGTGTGGTTCTAGTCCATGACTAGGGTTCCTAGGCTCTACAGTAATGCAAATAACAAATTTTTGCAGGATTGGGGCCTCCGTTTTTTAAGGGAAACAGTTTGACACCAATTTTCAAAATATGTAGTCAGAAGAGAATGAAGACTTTTGTAAGGCATGCAATATAAAGTCAAACAAGCTTTCTGAAGTCAGTGGGACTTAACCACATGCATAAGTATTTGCAAGACTGGAGCATGAAGTTCCTGTATTTTAATAAAAAATATCTGTCAAGGCAATATAAGACTAGGTTTTATTGTTACAATTTTCTTTTTACAATCTTATTTTTAAGGGAAAATTAAGCTAATTCTTGAAGATGGCTTAGGACTTGTGGATTTTCATCTTTCAAACAGATTTTGCATTTTGTATATTTCGGAAGCAGATTTGGTGGCAGGAAGTAGCTTCAAAAGACGTCTTGTTCGGTTTAGAAATGTAAGTCACACACACAGGTTTTTTTTTTTTTAAAGGCGGGAGAAGGAAAAGCTCCCATTAGAAAACCTGTGGTTATTATCCATTAATAGAAGAATCCACATTAATAATGAATTCAATTCATTATCCTAAACTTCAAAAATGGAAAACATTCTAATAATCAGATTTTGATTAATATTTTGTATCCTATTGGACTTAAATTCAGTAAAAAAAGTTTTCCATCTGAAAACTGACTTAAACATCCACTAAATCTGTTTAAGCACTCTTGTTTTCTAGAATTTCAAATAAAGTATTGCAGCAAATCCTGTGGGTCATTGACTCCTTTTTAGGCTGGTGAAAAAAGGGGTTTGATGTACATTTCCCTCTCCACCTTCTTCAATATTGACTCCCTGATGAGCAGAGCTGTTGCTTAACCATTTGGAGAAGTATCGCTAGATGTAAGACTTGTTTCCCCTCACTGTTGTTTTTCTTTATCAAAGGCCAGCAGTCTTCATGGGATTGTGATAGTTGAAAAAACCCAGATAAGTGATCAATACTTTCCAGCAGTGCAGAAGTTTATTGTGCTAGAACTTGGAATGACATTGCTTCCGGTGGCCAATCAGGGAGAAGCATCTCAACTTATTATTCAGCTAGTAAGTACTAGTGTCTGTGTCAGTGAGCAGACATCGATTAAGCCTGAAAATGTGTTGCTTTTTTCATGTCTCAGCAACTTGTATTCAAAGTTAAGAGTTACACATGATCCTCTCCTGTATTTTCAACTCTGCTTTGCGCATTGACTGTGGAATAGAGGTCACTCAAAAATAACATATCGCTCCCTCCTTGTCACTCCTACCACCTGTCACTTTAAGAAGCAAGGGGCCAAACTTGGGGGAAACTGAATTTGGATTCCCCATGTGGGCATGCATTGAGGTGCCATTAGAATATGCCAGCAAGCTTTCTTCACTGAACTTCTTTGACCAGTATGTGCATGTTTAGGGCTTTGAGGTCTTCTCAGCCTAGGAGTACTATACCTGTCTTTATATTTGTTGTCTCTAAGATTTGGTACTCTCACTGCTATATTTCCACCTGCTCAATTGCTCATTTATTTGTTGTCTGACGTACTGGGAAACAGCAGATGGTGGGATCAGAGTGCTAATTCGTATTAGGAAACAAATAGATTTTTCTCTGAGACTTGGCAGGCCTTCATCTAAACTAATGGGAAATATATGTTTAACCAATCATTTTGGTAAGGCAATCAAAGGCACTTCATTGTGAGGAAATCAGCTGAGAAATCTGACGTGCTGGTAATAAAGGTCAGGTAAGACAAAGCTCTGCTTTGAGTTACTTCAGAGCAGAGCCCAAAAAATGAAAGCCTCAATAGAGAAAATACAACACTGACCTGATGTAAGTAAAATTTAGTTTTACTATGAAAACTGACTGCTCCCAGTGTGTTTTCAGGGTCACATTTGCTTCCCTTTGTGTCTGAAATAATCTTTTATACTGGTTTTTGCTCCTTCTAATATTTCAAAGCCAATGTATTGGAGAGAGTAAGCTGGATTCTGTTCCTTCTTGTGCACCATCAACAGAAACATGTACTAATCTTGAATTACAGAACAATCAGTTACCCTTGTGAAAACCAACTGAAGACCATGGAGTTTGCACAGTTATCAATGAGAAATCTGAAGACAATAAAGTTACACAGGTGTAGTGAGGATGTTGTTTGGCTTTAGAACCTTTATTAAAAGTGCTGAATGAAATGAAAAGAACATGTCGGACCTCAGGTTGTGCTTACAGGGCTGACGTTATAAAACTTTTTTTTTTTTTTTTTTTGTAAACTTGAACAGTTAATTGGGAAATCTTGGGACTACATTAAATATGAAACCCCAAAATGCCACTTTTGTGTCCTTCTTAAGAGAAGGACTGCATTTTAATCAACATGAACTGATGACTGATCAGCACTCAAAATAGATTTTAAACAATTATGTTGCATATTTGCTTTGAGTGTCCTACTGAGGCATAGTCCAGTGACATTCCTCTTTTTTTTTTCTTAATTCATGCAAAACTTCATACATCCTGTCTATAGCAGATGAAGCCTTTGAATAGTTAAACCAACAAATAATACACGATCTGCCCTCAAACTCTCAACACTGCATACCTTGTAAAATCAACTATATACCTAAATTTTGACTTCTTAGTCTTTTGCAGACTGACCACTTAAAAATCTATTGCTTGGAGTGTGAGGGGAGGGCAGCCCAAAGTTTGTATTTTTCAGTCCAGGACTGTGGTGTTGTCTGCAGCATCAGTGTCAGTGACTTTTTCTGTTCTTGTTCCATCCTTCCCCCATGACTATAGAAGTAAGAATGGATGAGTATGAAGAAGGTGACTAGTCTCCTAGTTGCTACAGTAATGCAAATAACGAAGTTGAGACCTATGCTTTGAGACTGGCTGCCAGGTGTCACTACCCTCCTCTGGTCTGCCCTGTTTTTTGTCCTCCTGTACCTGTTATCTTAGCCCAGCCAGTAGACTGTATAACTCCACTTTTCTTCCCTTAATATTTCTCATGGCTCTGTCTTTCTCAGCTAAGTTCTAGCATTTACACTTACAGTTACATTACATGTTACTCTGGAAAAGTGCATATTAACTGGTAAATGGATGGAAGTGATTATAGAGTTTCCTTTTTAACCTAAATGAAATTCTCTAAGAAAAACAGAAACCAGGGCTCCGCTAAATAAATGGAGCTCAGCTTCTACTTTTCTTTTTGTTTCAGGTCCATGAGCAAAGTAAGGATCACACTAGTAACCCCTTTCTTCATAAAAAATGTTCCCAGCTAGTGGAGGCATCAATACTTCGGACAGTCCAGCAGATTCCAGGAGTTGGGAAAACAAAAGCTCTGCTTCTACTACAGCAATTTGTAAGCATCCACCAGCTTTGCAATGCATCTGTCCAGGACCTCGAGCTAGTAGTAGGACAAACAATAGCACAACAAATTCATGCTTTCTTTACACAGACAAAGTGACATTCGCTCATTAATATCTCAGACAAACATGAGGGTTTTCTCCTTTGGAAGTGGAGAGTAATCTTTGAGTCCTATTCTAGGTGGAATTGATTTATATTTTTAAAGAACAATTCAAGGATGGACTCCATTTCCACTTAGTGTCTATGCTGAAGGCATCCTTGTCACGCCCAATCAGCAACTAAAAAGAGATGAGCAGGGATCTTGAGATTTCAGCCCTCTACTTATGTTACAGCTTCACACACACAACATATTCTGTCTTCTCCCCACCCCCAAACTCTGCTTGCATTGCCAAATCTTCAGCAGACATACGTGGATGTAGCTGCATTTAAACCATGTTGTGATCTGGCCCCTTATATTTCATGTTCTGAGTGCAGTTTCATGGTGGTTGTCAGGGAATTATTTGAGTTTCTCATTGTGCATGAACACTTGAGTTGTGTGCTATTCCCTTGTGTCTGCGCTGTTGTTTTTTTTTTCTTTTCTATAAACCTCATTTAGGGCCCAGTCCTACAGCCCTTGGTCATGCCATTTTGTTCGGTTCACTTTAATGGAACTAGCATGAGTATGAGCTGCAGTACTGAACCTATGCTTTTATTACTTTGGAGGCTGCTTTGAGCAGTTCAGCTGCAGTTTCTTAGGCTTTAAATTTCCATGGTCATTTGAATAGAGCCCTTTTCTAATAACCTGCCAGATATTATCATACTACTTCCTCCTTATTGCAAGATGTCCAATATACTAGGATGTTTGTTCATACCTTTTAGTTTTCTGGATTAAGATAACTATAATGCTTTATCGGCATGCCAACATCATCCGCCACAGAATATAAAATTTCACAGTCCAACTTCCTTTCCCCTTTACCAGCCCTTCTGAAATAGTTTCCTATAAAGGAAAGGGTTGCTGTGCATTCCTGGCTACCTTGGACTTAATTGTCAATGGAGGTTCCCTGTCCTTCCATTTCTTTTAGAGCAAAATTGTCTCTTGCCCCAGACACCAGTTATGAAGTCTGTCTAAGGTGGGCTACTTGCATTGCAGGTCTGTGTAGGGGGAAAGTAGCCTTTGCAGGGTTGCTGCTCCCCCCTCTCATGCAGGTGGGTGGAGAGTGGCAAGGAAGGAGCAGGGAATGGACCCCTTCACACCCACCCAAGGCACCATCTAGTATAGAGGGAAAGCAATTACTGGTATGGACTCCTTACTAGTGGATGAGAGTAACTTTCATTCTAGCCCTAAATGTTCAAATTATTGAATGGCAATGATTCCTGGAACTATGGAACAAGCTATTGCACTTCTGGGGCTTGCTTCTGCGAGTTTAAATCTCATGTAAATACACGTTCATTGTCCCTTCTCTCACTTCTTCCCACATACACACTTTCCTTAAGTAGACTGTGGGGCTATAAAACCTTTCTGTTGTACGCTGTGATGTGTGTATTGCTTGGCAATCTTTTATCTACTGGTACTGCAGGACAAGCACTTTTTAAATATTTCAAACGGCTGGCTGTTCAGTAGATTAAATAAATCAAGAAGGTAGGTAATTAGAGCAGTGACTATTAGTGCTAATGGGCTGAGCTGCTAATCTATTATAAAACTTGTATTTCCAACATTTGGTAACAGCCATAGACATTCCTTGTGAGTGATCCTTGTAAGGATCTTAGCCCCAAAGTAATCTTTAAACATATGTTGGACACAGTTTTTGTGTTGCACAAACAGAACTTTATTTTTCAAATGCAATTTGCTGTGGAATTGGTAAGGTAAACCCTAATGATTTTGGTCACTTAAAAATCAACTATCTGAGATAAGCTATAATGAGTCTCCTATGAGTTGCCAGAAAATATTGTAAAAGTTATGAAAAATGAGTTGGTATTTGAGGGGAGAAGGGTGTCTGATATTTAGCCATGGAGTGAAAGTATATTTGAGGTCCAAATTATGGGTCAAAAATTTGATGAAAACAATTTTCAAAAAGACTGGTTTGGGTTTTTTGTTTTGTTTACCCTGGTAATAGGCTTAAATTATAAAAGACAAAGTAAGCCCAAAAGAGGGAAATATTTATGTGAGCACTATCTTGTCAGGCTGAGGGTTATTGCTGTATCCTCCTACAACAGAGTATATTGAATTCTACTGCATGGAATGTCAGACCTAAACAATTTGTATTATATCACCCCTTAGTGACTGTAGCCTGCATAAATATAAAAGCTCTATTACCTGTGTCCATTGGAAATCTTTTGCCATCTTCTGGCAGTCTAGGAAAGACTCAATCTAATTCAAAGTAGAGAAAGTGAACATCTTACGGAATAAGTGATTTGCAGCACTTATAAAATTAAAATGAATAAAACTGAAGATGACAAACCTTTACAAAATAACTCAAGACTCTGAAAATTTTTTAGAATACTTTATCTTGTAACGATACTAGTTTTATAGGGTTAGTTCAATATTGCACAATGAAAGTCTAACTTGAGAAAGTTGTCTGCTAATTCAATGTTATCCTTTATGAAGAAACTATATGAACATGAGTCTGCTAGCACATAGCTTCAAAACGAAGTCAACAGTGAAACTTTTGTAAGTTATACTGTTTCATCCAATCTGTAAAGAATGAAAAAAGCCACTACTAAATGGCAGCATGATTTTTATTCTTAAATAAGCTTTTAAATTTAACATATTTACATCTATCATATAACACAAAACCAAACACAAGTGAAAGATTATACCCACAGTGTCTCAAAATGTGCATGGTACACACTTTTTTCCATTATTGTTTAGTGTTTTGAGTATCAAACAGCATATATCTACTCTGTAGATAGCATCTTAATCTAACACTACAGTGTTAGCAACTTTAAAACAATCAGAAAATATATAAACAAATCCTCTCTCATAAGGAAATTAACACACAGTTACACTTTAGATGGCTTCCCAATTTGCTTTTTTAGTTCAATATGGATTGTAAATTCTTTGAAGCACAGCCCTTGTTCTCATATGTCCATAAAGCACCTAGCTCTCATTTGGCACTATATAATAAATAATGATTTATGGCTGAGTGACTTAAAGACCATTTTAAAATTACACACTTTTAAAGTGTCGTCATAAATTGTATATTTTGACTCGATTATTTTAGCTGTAAAAGTGTGAGATTATACACAACTTTCACTCATTTTAACAAGGCTAATAATACAAAAAGTTTGTACTTAGCGAGTTAAATAATTTCAAGTTGGGAGCAAATCTTGTTTCTAATTAATTTAACAAGACATTAAAAGTGAATCTTGATTTTTTTTTTTAATTAGTGTTGTCCAACTCTTTTGTAGCTGAAATGTGATCTCCTTTTGATAGTTAAGCTATTGCAATTATTCTTTTCCTACAGTGAAATTCACACTAATGTAGAAGGAAAACACTCAAGAGGGCTCAAAGTGCGAGCTACATGGTACATAGGCCTTGTATTGTTCCTTTGCACAGTACCTAAGTGAATAATAGTTCTATCATAACAAACTTGTCTGTTCTGGTCATTTGTTCTTTAGTTAGCCTTAGTTTAAACTGATGCTTAGCAATTTTAACTTTTATATTTAAAAAAATCCTTCATTTTATGTCCAGTACTACCCTATATACAGTATCATATGTAATAAATAACCGTCAGCTAAAGTGTGCATAGAAATGAACGAAAACACCCCCATACTGAAATTCCAAAAGAGTCCAGTTTCAGCTAAAGTAAGGTTTGTTTGTTTTTTTACAAATGATTCCCCGATACTAGAGTTACCATCCGTCCGGGTTTCCCCGGACATGTCCAGCTTTTTCAGCTTTAAATGGCCGTCCGGGGGGGATTTCTAATAAAGTAGAAATGTCCAGGATTTCCCCCTTCCCCTCATGCAGAGTGCGGCGCGGCTGATTGGACGGCTGGGCCTGATTGAAAGCCGCTCGCAGCCACTGGGGCCTCTAGCAGCCAGAGTCCCTCCTGCTCCCTCCTCCCCCGCAGAGCAGCGCGGCAGTGTTTGGCTCCACGT